ACACATACACATTCACCCCCCCTGCACACACACACATACACAATAAAACAAACCATATATATATACACAAACACACTCACCCTTTTTTATGGCCCGTGGCAGAAGGGCCAGCAATGACTAAAACCTGACATAAAAAGTGTTTTTGAGAGTGCTGATTATCAGTTCTTTCCTTCCACTTGCTGCATCTGTCATTTGTGACCAACTATGGTGAATCCGTCTATATATAGGATAGAAGGTAAATTCATCACAGGAGAGGTAAATTCATCACAAGATAGGTAAATTCCTCTCTCTCTCTCTCTCTCTACTGGCTCTGTGGCTTCATAAGTGGTTAACTATGCCGACAGCACGCAGGAACTCAACACTTGCTCGGGGGTCCTTGAAGAGTGCTGAACGTGGGTCACTGAAATGTCTCAGCGGACATGTTTTTCTGGCACAATAGTTGGCGGGACATTTCAGGAACACGTGGTCCTGCAGGAGGTAAATTCGTCAAAGTAAATTAAATGTGGACCAGTATAACAGAAGACACTTTTGCCTTCTGTGACAGAGCAGTTCCAACAATACAAATTTTGAAATAAGCATCATGTGTATTTTTCTCTCACTGCTCTCACCCTTTGTACTCATGTGTATGCGATTTATATTGGAACTCAAGCAAGTGTACATGTGGGTGGTTGGCGGGTGCTGTGGTGTGGTTTGCTTCTTCTTTCCTATTGAACATCTATCGTCTTTATCACCCCTCCTTCTTTTTTTGTGTTTGTTACTCTCTTGTAACACCTCTAATCTTCAGCACTTATATGACCTTATTGTGTTGCAAGTGCCGAAAAATTCGTACTAAAACTACACAAGTGTACATGATTCTTTTTCAGGCATGCGGTCGTACGACACTTGCTTTTCTGCCGGTCAGGCTTTAAACGCCTTGGAGAAAATATTTCCTCAGTCGGTGAGCAGTAATCCTTACTGCAGCCCCCAGTCTTCTGTCACGCCAGGTATGACATCGTGGGTGGTTGGCGGGTGCTCTGGTGTGGTTTACTTCTTCTTTCCTATCAAACGTCTGTCGTCTTTATCTCCCCTCCTTCATTTTTTTTGTGTTTGTTACTCTCTTGTAACACCCCTGACCGTCGGCACTTAAATGACCTTACTACTGTGTTGCAAGTACCGTAAAACTCTTACTAAAACTAAAAAAAGGTATGACATGGTACATTATGAATGGACTATGATGCAAAATGTGATTTGTTATTGGTGTTTGTTGCTGTTATTGTTGTTTTTATTGTTGTTGTTGTTGCCATTGTTTTTGTGCTATTTTGTTCTCGCTGTTGGTGTTGTTGGTGGTGTTGGTGTTGTTGTTGCTGTTGTTGTTGCTGTTGTTGTTAGTGTTCTAGTTGTCGCTGGATTCATGCTGTTCATGTCATGTTTTGAAAGGACAAGGGCACTTTAAGTTGTTCTCAAAGGGTGATTGGAGGATGCCACTGGTAGGTTCTATTTCTTTACTCTCCGTCTGGTTGTAAACGACATATCGAAAGTAGCTCATTAGATAATAATGAGACTGAAAAGAAAAAAAGAAGGGCTTGCTTAGCATACATGGGAAACCACGGACCCCAACCTTGATTGGAGGGGGTGGGGATATAGGAAATATATACCTGTTTATATACCTGTTTATATACCTGTTTATATACCTGTTTATATACCTGTTTATATACCTGTTTGCAATGTGAGAAATAACCACTCTACAATGATGTTGAAAGGGGTGAAGATAAAAACGTACCATTTCCACTTATCTTTTGCTCTCGCCGAGTTTTTCAGTGTATTGTTTTTGGGTGGTTGACGGGTGCTGTGTGGTGTGGTTTGCTCCTTCTTTCATATCAAACATCTATCGTTCTGATCTCTCCTTCTTTTTTATGTTTGTTACTCTCTTGTAACACCTCTAATCTTTGGCATTTGTATGACCTGATTGTGTTGAAAGTGCCGTAAAACTCTTACTAAAACTAAAAAAAGTTCTCTGCCCCTTCTTTTTTGTGTTTGTTACTCTCTTGTAACACTTCAAATCTGCAGCACTCATAGACTTAATTGTGTTGCAAGTGCCTTAAAACCCTTACTTACTGAAACTAAAGTGTATTTTTTTATTCTACAGGCGTCATTGGTCCTCTCTCCAGTGGTCCGACCATTGCCGCAGCAGACTTGGCCGGTCGCCTCTCCATCAGCCTCATCTCTCCTCGGGCCGACTCACCGGTTCTCAGCGACAAATTAAAGTACCCTACTTTCCTGAGGACTGTGCCCCCAAGTGGTGTCCAGGCAAAGGTAAAAAATCCAGTTTTCTTTGCTTAATTAAGCTGCGTGGTGTCACCAATTCCTGTTCTTTTTTGGAGTTGCGTGTTGCCACCATTTCCTGTTGGTTTATACTGAATAGTGTTGAAGCAAGTCAGATACTGTGGTCCCTGTCAAATAAAAATGCGGAAAAAAAGCAGGATCTGGTTTTACGAGAAGCATTCTTGCAGTGTGGAACTGAATTTTTCCTGTATAAATGTTACTTGTAAATGCCAGTTCCAAATCAACAACTGTGTCTAATAGCTTGATTGTCACTGAGCTAGTGTCAGAAACAGATCAGCCATAAACAGGGTTCGTACGGGTCTTGGAAAACTGGAAAGCTCTTAAAATGTTGTTTTTATTTCCCAAGACATGGAAAACTCCTGGAATTTTGGGAAGTTGTCAAAATTCTTGGGAAAGTCTTGGAAAAACAAATTTTTAACTATATCTATTATAAAAATATTTCCTCGAAGTTTAGAAGGCCTCGACTTAACGCAGTCTGAAGTGTACCATATATATTTTTGCATGCTGAACGAAAAATGTTCTTCTAAATTGACATGTTATTTGTATTTGAAAAATTTGAATGAAATCTGGTTTTGAAAACTCCTGGAAAAGTCTTGGGGAAAAAACATCTCATGCTCGGTATGAACCCTGCTTAAAAATAACTCCTTTCGCTTGGAACTGCTGTAATTGAAGCAAACACTCTATGCTGTCAGTTAGTGTTTGAAATGGCTGCTTTGCCAGGAAGAAAAAGACATATAGGACAAAGTGTGAGACATACATTTTGTGCAATGAGGAAAGCCAATGCCTGACCCTGTGTGGTGGATGGACAGTGTGAGAGGGCTGTGGGCTGTGCTATAGTTCTGACGTACCAACTGCAGAGAGGTTACTGAACAGAGAGAGAGAGA